CACTAATGAGAGTATTTCTGAGAACAGTTAAGAAAGAGTCAATTTTTAGGCTATCTAATGGTGGTACTAGTCCTTGTGCATTTGGTGAGAGGGGTGTTAAACACTCGTCCTTGATATATTTGTTATTTATGAATTTTACTAATTGTAAAATTTAAAAATACAGAGTGAAAGGAAGAGGAGCAAGAACCTAATCCACACACATCCCCCTTTTTTAATTAATGAAATAGCATAGGACAGTGGAAAGAGCTCTCTCATTCTTTTGTTGCTGAAAACCTCTTCTGAGTCACTTAACTCTGCATCTCAGTTTGCTAATCTTCAAAATTAGCAGGTTTGAACTGAATAGTAGCTCAGGTTCCTTCTAGATGTGTGAATTAACCCAAAGGGCATGAAAACCTAGCAAGAAATCACTCTTAAAATGCAGTAGCAAGTTTGAAAACTTATCCTGAAGCAAAGATCAGTTCTCAGGTTGAAGGTCACAGTCCCAAAGAATTAAGAACTAAATTTAAGCCTATTTCTAATAAGTTTACAGTAGCAATGAAAGCTTTAAAATTCTAACGCAAACTGGATAACTGATTCCCAAGCTTCAGCACTGAAGCCACACACAGGTTTTGATGTATTTTTCTCTACTGGCAGTGCAGAGATCAAGAGGAAACCAAGCAGGAAAGAAATCAGGACACTGAGGTCAGCACAGAAGCTGATCCTAAAAAATGTCAGATAGGGACTGGAGAGAGGCAAATAGAAAATGTAAGATTCAGTTCATAAATACATGATCTGTGTTCAGGATTTTCTTATAATGAGATCGTCTTCCAGGATATGGTACCCAACTCTGTGTTCTTTCCAACCATTCTCAACAATTGTACAGATGTAAATGAAAGATAAAAGTCTTCATCTTCCCAAACTAAATAATATTAATCTTTGGTCTGTACTCATACATTTCATTTTAATGTGAAACTCAGTGTTTGCTTTTCTTCCTGACCATCTTCACTCTAAGGGGATTAGATTGCTAATTTCCAGATTCAGTTTTTTCCAAGCTTGGTATTTACCCAGTCTCTCTATGTACCCAACAGCATGCTCCACATGCTAATGAATGTGCTACACTCGAGGCAGAGTGGGTGCTTAGTGGGATGACCATATACAGAAGATAATTTTTAATCAGCATTTTAACACCTGAAATGAGCTTATCAACCTTAAATAGAATGGCTTTGTTTATGGAATTTTTTAAATCTCCTCTTAAAATGGAGAAATGATTTGAAGAAGTACTTAATTTTCTATCTCCACCTCTTTATCATACATTACACAGAAAAAGGAACTGGAAAAGAGCAAGAAGACCTCACGGAATATTTAAATAGTAGCTTCAAAGTTGGGGAATACCATCGGCCAGAAGAAAGGCAGATGAAATGAAGTCAAAGTGTCACTGATTTTTGCCTGTCCATGGAGAGAAGATTGCTGATTTAGAGTCACTCTGGCCTACCTAAGACTATCTGACATGGGAATATAACTCCAAGGTAAGGATCCCGGGGCCAGCAGGTTTATCCTGGTGCTATTATCTGAATAAAGCCTCCAGGCATGCTCCACAGCAGCTTTCCAACCCCAGAAACTACACAGGTGGCATCTCTTAATGATTCACTGAATCACATGAATCACTTGATGATTAAAACTGAATCACTTGCTGTAAGGAAATTTGGGGAAATGAGTGTGCAGCATTCTAGTCCCTGTAGCGGGCAGTGAGGAGCAGATTGTAAATGGCTGTGCTATTTGCCAGGGAACAGTGTCCGCCAGAGCAAGTAACTGAACAGAAAATTCAGATGTATGGCCTAGAGACCCTGCGACCTCCAACATGTATCAAAAACCTCCAGATGTGAGTATCCTAAAGGAAAAGTATCATTTGGGGGAAGGCCAGTGCTTTATGTTTTAATTAAATGCTGTTACATTATATGGGACAGACCATTGCTAATGATGAACAAACTGTTGAGGGAATATCACATGAATCTGTTTAATTCTGGGGAAAGTTTTTAGAGCTTTAGTGGAAAGGTTAGAAAAGAACATACCAATTAATGTTACTTCTGTACTACTACATTACAATAAAGTATCTAAATTAACACAGATCAGTTTCTGGAGGTTCTCATGCCTACCCTCCCATAGAAGCACAGTGTTCCTAAGCAAAGGCGGCATCTATCTGAAAGCCACTATGCCAAAGGTGTCACTAGCAAGGCCTCAAAATAACTCTAAATCTGAGAACTTCTGTCCCAATAGATGAACACTTGGATTTTTTTAGAAATCACTGGTAGTACTCTAGAATTCAATAGGGAGGCTTTGAGGAGGAAGGAATGTGGACTGCAGTATTAAAAGGGGGAAAAGGAAGTACTTGCTAGCCTTAATATAACAAGTTGAGCAAAATAACAGGTAAAAAGTTACTGAGTGCTTAATATGTGCCATGAATGGAGCTAAATTATGTCATTTCATCCTCATAGAAGCTCATTGGGGTTTAGAAGGTAAAAGGGACTCAGAGTTAAGAGTCCACAGAGCTGGTAAGTGGTACAAATAGAATGGAAATCCAGTTCTGTGGGATGCCAGAGCCCAAGTTCTGCCCCACTAATTTATACTCATGTACTTTAAAACCATGCATGGAAAAAGATCTTTAAGAATGAAGAAATCTAAAAACAAAGATGAAGAAGAAATCCCCTGGTTATGTGCAATAAATCAAGGTTCCTAGGAAACTTAATATGCTATTCAGAACCACTACCCATGTTGATTTTGCTCAAGTCCCACATTACTTTCAGATGCCCTTCCAGATCTCAACCACACAATTGTTTAAAAAACCTCCCTAGGGGCGCCTGAGTGGCTTAGTCGGTTGAG